AAAAAAAAAAAGAGACCGCACTGCTGCTTTAATGATAAATCAGACAGGTCAACCCAAAGAGATAGTGACCACTTCAACAAAGAAAACTATAACGCTTCAACAGAAAAAGACAGCAAAGCTGCTATTAACAATAACCAGGCAGGCCAAACAAAATAATGCAGGCCGCCATCACTTAAGGGAAACCACCGCTCAGTTAAGAACTACTCACAAAGAGCCACGCACTGTGGGGCTGGTCACACACAGCAGGCCTTTTCCATACCTAGACCAGTATCACACACTGCCCAGCACAGAGGAAATCCACCGGAAGCCTCTCCCACACCCACACTGCTCTCCTCCAGCTTATATCACCTCTGAGGGTAATTGGTGGTAAACGAGGGCAGATGAGCAGCAGGTGTGTCCTAAAGGAGAAGGCAGGGGCAGAGAGAGAGGAGGAGGCGGAGAAAAAACACCACACCCACACAAGGGCAGTTTCAGGAGGTAACACCCCCTCCCATAAATACAAACCAGTGGTTTGTCACAGAATGTCCTACACAAATCTTAAATCTATCACCCATGCACCATAATAACGGTTAGGCATAGCCTGCCAAATCTGCCAAGACCTTTTTGATGGGTTGACAACACTGAATGGGGTTGGCTCAAGTCCCTCAACATAGTGTCCCAAGTGACAGCCAGATGTTTTTTGAGCCATCACATACGGGGAACCCGTCAGGCAGCTAGAAGGCCTTACAGCAACACTTCTCTGATGCTTCTTCGCTAGGTCATGGCGAAAGGCATGCTGGTTAGCCAGAGGTGCAGGTTGGAATGGTTGTGTCGCACACAATCTGTCACACTGTAGGTCATCTGGACGATGATCAACAGGTGGCAGCTCAGAATTAGTCGACCTCTGACATTCCACAAATGACACCACTGAGCAATTATGCTCCAATTGTTGCCTATGACTGGCAACCTTGTCTGTTTGTAAACCACAGTTCACTCTTTTGAAAGCAGATAAATTTTGCTTTGAGTTGGCTTTTGAACAGTGAGCAATCAGGTGGCCAGGTTTGTGGCAAAAGAAACAGAGCTGTATTCTGGATCTTGAAACCATGCCTCCATTAGCATTGTTAGCAGGCACACTCCTAGCCCTCGAGACTGACCGTTTCTGTTTGTAGGTCTTACAATTTGCAACTAAATGGCCAGACTTGAAACAGAAAAAACACTTTCATTTTGCCTTGGGATGGGACACAAGTACCTCACTCTTTGGGTACTGTGCAGGTGGCACATCACTAACCTTCACTGAGGCATCGCGTCGGTCATGCTTAATGACACTGGTTTTATGGATGAGGGCAAACTCATCAGCCAGTGTTGCAGCCTGCTGTAATGAGAAAACCTTCTGTTCATTCAGATACACTGCCATCCACTCGGAGATGCAGTTTTTAAATTCCTCAATGAGAATTCTCCCGTACCGAAACTAGGTCTGCAGCTTTACAGGCCATACACCATCGGTCAAAGAGGGCCCTCTAATCTTAGCCTAGTTAGCTTCTGGAGTGTACCAGGCTCGAGGCAACTTTAAAGGCTAAGCATTAAGCCATTAAG